ACATACTTTTTATATTTTTATACAAGGTTGAGCGTATTTGTTTTCGAATTCTATTATCAAAGTCCATTGTTATAGTCAACGTTCCGCTTAATTTCGAAATCTAATTAATCTAATTAAAAATATTATCCTTGAATCTCATTATCTACTTTTAACATTTATTTTTACGTCAATTATATTAATGTGAATTAAATTTTCAGTTTAATTTCGAATCCAATTAAAAATACGTGAACCTTCACACATTATCTACTTTAAATATATTTATTTTTATATCTATTCTAAATGTAATAGTCTTATTCGAGCACGCGATTGCATAAAAGATGTAATATAAAAATTCAGATATAGGATAAATAACGGAATTTAATTCGGATATACCGGTGAGGTATTTCAACGCGGTGAACTGAACGTCGTCGTACTGATCGAGTAAGATCTTGAGCTGTAACACGCTGATGCGCAAATCCGTCTCGTTGAACTCGTACTGATTGTTCCACCCGATCGGCCCGAACTTCCGTCGCTCCTGCACGATGCCGTGAAAGAAGCAGAGCGAGAAGAGCAGCCGTTTGAAAGTCACCCGCTGCTTCGACGTGTCGAAGAAATCGGGATCGCATATCGGATCCTGCCGCGATATTTAAAAAGTTAAAAAAACGAACCTCCCAGAATTAATCCCTTATCTTGGGACGAGCGAAGTGGGAAATTGCCTTTACCTGGTGAAAAGACCGCAAGATATTCGCGCGCAGTCCTTTGGGAGGCTCGTTCGTCATCTTCACACCGTTCTGCAGGACGCTGACGGGAAAGTGCTCGACCGGATAACTCGTCAACCACAGACGGAAGTCGGGGTGTACCGTTTCCTTCGTGAAACTCTCGCATATCTTAGGTGTGATGAAATAAAAGTAATAGGACAGCGAATAATGCAACGGAAGGACTCGTTAAAAAATTATGTAGAAGCTACACGATGAAAATATATTATTTTAAATATAGCTTAAAAGTTCAAGAGTTGGTAATAACAAAAAAGTTCGTAGTGCTTAATATATATTTAAGTTCAAATGTAATAAATAACTAAACCGAATAATTCTAAGCTTAATAATAGATCTAATAACATCTCTAAACTTAAAAGTTTATAACATATTCGTTAAAGAGAAATTGAATTGAAAATTTGATAAATTTCACATATTCTCCGAAAGTAAAATTTGTGCGATCTACTATAAATTAAAATTTAGGTGGATCTTTAGGGATGCGTGTAATGTTAAAGTTAACATAAATCTTCCAACTGCGTAATCATCTATCGCAGAATATATAATAAATTTTCGTTTATACGATTCGTACGAAAAATTACTTTTTCCAGAGTGATCATAAAAGTCTTGACGACGTGACAATTTTGCAGCACCACCCACGTGCCGTTTTTTACACCTTCATCAATGAGACCCTCGGCTATGACCCCTTGACCTTGGCCCAGGGACAAGGAAAACAGCCTACTGGCCGCGAAGCCGTGATCGTCGGCGAACTTCAGCAGGATCGCCATGGGATCCGCGCCGGGTGTCAGGACGAATATCAGCGGGATGCAGGAGTGCGAGTCCGCGAAAGACGACGCCAGATCGAAGGGCGGTGGCACGATGTATTGATGGCCTAATTGCTCTATCGGGTGATCCAAAATTCAGGTAAAAGTGAAGTAGCAACGAATAGTTCAGCTTCAACAATTCAGCTAAGAATTTCCCCGACTGTATTATGTATAAGATTTCTTTCGTATTTTATGATGGAGGAAAATAAGGATATGAAGGGATTACCATTATATGCGGGGAGACCTACTTTCTATTGTTGCAAAGAATTTAATTTCGCCCTTTCGCACGAAATGCACGACCTGCCCCAGATTCCCCGTACCGTATCCTTCGTCTGGATCGATCTATTCTTAGATTTTGGTGGCCTCCTTTCTTTTTTAACGTACCTTGGACGAATAATTGCGTCGCCGGTACTATCTTGTCAGGACGAATGCAACGAAGTACCAGCATCTTCTCGAAGCTACTCAATTTGTTCCAAGGAGCAGGGAAGGTTGTAGTATGAGGTTCCTTGTGATCGAATATCTTCTTCCACTCGTCGATATTTCTTGTGTACGAGTCTCTTATTCCCTGAACAAATTATAAAAACGATCTTGATAAGTAAAACTTTACGTTCTGATAAATTTATAAATTTCTAATAAATTTATAACAGATAAAAGAAATTCCATTAAATTTCTTGAAAAGATTTGATCGATATTTGCAAAGAATTTTTACAAAAAAAAAAAAAAAAAGACGAAGACATCTGATAAAAGTAAAATGTGACTGTCGAAGCGCAGTGTTTAAACTTTCATTATTGAAATTCATTATTGAAATATTATATAAGAATCGCGAATGGTCATAATACAATAAGAATCACATCGCAAACGTTTCGCTCATTTGATATTTTTCAGCAATGAAAAATATACGAGTATGACTCGTTCCTTTACATGCTTTCTTATATTTGTATGTATTAGTTTGTTTTGTTCTCTCTCTTTAATTATACATCATTTATTCTAACTCAATTTTTGTCTCTTAAATTCTAACTTATTTTTCTTCTTTTTTTACTCGTTTCAAATTTTTCACTCTATATTTTTAACAATTCACTGGATTTCTTCATTTTATCTTTGCACTTAACAGGCCTTTGACTTATGAATTTGTTATTAATAATCTTTTACAACATTAATCTTTGAAAATGCGCAAAATTATTGCTTGACGTCGTAAATAATTGTTATATTTTAAAATTTTATATATTCTTGTGTCTAATATTTTACATATCTTATTTCTTTTATTTTTAATGTCGACACATTGCTCTCTATATTTTTTATTTATGCTATTTATTCAATTTTGATTACTAATTAAAATCTTTTCAACTCTCCTTTCCATGCTTTGTTATCGTATTAGATTTTGATATTTTTTACCAAAACCGATGAAGATTAATTAGAATCAAAACGTTTTTATTATTCCTATATTTTTTCTCAGAAAATAAATTTAATTTATTAATCCTATTTCGTAACATTTATTATTGCTCGTTTTTACTATCTTTTAATTCAATATTTGCTATATAATTTTTATTGTATTGAAGAGGACCAAAATTATCGAAACGTTTGCGATGCGATTACCGTTCGCAATTATGTAATATTTCAACAATAAATATTTGACATCCGCATTTAGCTCTCATTGACTATTTTTATTGTCTTTTTATAGATTTATTCTTTTGGAGTTTTCATTTTTTTCATTTTTATTATTGATCATATCTCCGGAAAGTTCACCGTGAACCCTGGCACGCTGTCCAATCGGCAAAGCTCGTCCCAGGATCTCGCTGGTAGCCATTCGGTAGGATTGGCAAAAGGATTCTCGAGGCCGACGCCGCCGGTCAGCAGGAACATCCATTGGACTGTCGAGAGCTGGCCCTGCTTGTTCAGCAAGTTCACGGACAGCAGTAGCGAGAAGAGCAGCTTGTCTTTCTCAAAGAGCGAGCGGCATATGTTGACGTAAAGGGAATAGGTGAAATACTTGGTGAGGTCCTTCAAACGCTGCTTTATTTCCTCTACTGGCGGAGTGTTGTCAATCGTATTCTTGAAGAGATTGACGAACCAGGCGAGGGAGTATTGGTACATCGGATCGATATTCGCCAGCATGACTGCAGAAAAGATTAACGGACGGTATATTATATTATATCGACAAACGGTTCCTTCGCAAAAATTACTTGTTTAATTATTTTTATATGCTTTCTCGTAGAGAAACTTTGAACAGACTTTTACATATATATTATTATATATATT